ATATATGAATTAGTAACCAGGTTATCACTAAAACACATATAGAAACAATAAAAGTATATGGTAAAGCCCTTATACAGTATCTTATTTGCAAGGATAATAACTTGCCACTAATTTTCAATGAAATTTTTACACAAATTAAGAAATTTACTAGTCCCTTCAATCTCATTATACCCCACCCTGAGACATAAAAGTAATTTTCATGGGTAGGGTAAGGAATAGGTTACACAATTCTTTTTGTTTTTGTGTCAATTCTAGCCATACAGACTTAGAAGGATTAGAAGTGCCTAGCATTTAGCACTTGGTATGTGTAGCTCAGTGGTAGACAACACTGCTTAGGATAAGCAAGGCCGTGGGTTCAATTCCCAGCACCAAAACAAACAAATTGTGGGGGTGGGATAGATACTGTTATCCTTAAAGCAGCAGCACAAACTTGTGTTCTGTAGCATTCTCACGAATGACTGTTCAGTTAGCTTCAGAGGTGACAGGGTAAGACGACTGGGTCACTTTTTGTGAGATATCCATGTGTAAAATCCAAATACTAATACATATCAAAAAGGGTTTTACAATTTACAGTAAATTTACTTAATGACTTGAAACCAGAAAAGTCAACTGGCTTCTATAATTTTGGAGGTAATTCATGTGAAATATCACGGATGGACAACAGAGCATATTATTCATATTTCTCAAACGATTACCATGCAAATTTAGCTAAAATATCATCAGCTGGATTAGAATCAAGGTACTCTAGTCTATGGATTCCTAATCAGGTAATATTACATTGAGCACTCAGTGGTACCAAACTTTATTGTGAATGGCTTCCGTAAGAGCTTATTCAATTGTACCACGAACTGACTAACTCCCTGCTGCGAGTATAAAACTCTGGAGTGTGCAGCTCAAGGTCACATCCAGGGACCATCTCAGATGGTGCCCTAGATAGTGACTCACACTTCTTGTACTAAAAGGTAAGCTCTGACTCAGAGTGAACCCTATTCATTGCTGACTGACACTGTACTTATTGAATAGACACTCAAATGGTGAGTCACCTGGTGGTGCACTGAGAACCAACCTGGAAGACTCCCATTTGGACAGTGATTCACATTCTAATCATACCTGGATTGGACTTGACAAGTGTGATTTCAAAACTCAGTTCTGTTAAACTGGCCCAAAAGCAAGCTGAAGAAGTCATTCTCTGCTGAAGACCCTGTATCTCTGTTCAAAGACCTATAGTAGCTGATGCAGTCAAGAGTAAGATATAGAGTTCACACACTAGAGAGAACCAATTTCCTTCTTCCAGGATGTAGGCACAATTCCTAGAAGTACCTTCCCTAGAAAACACACTATTCCTATAAATAACTTGTGTCCATATGCTCACCCACAAATCTCTGCCATATAATTCCTAAACTGTTCATGTGAGGGCTAGATCTATAACCTACAATCTGCACCATTCATGGAAGATAAATGTCATTGGATTGCCACATGCAGCAATGGACAAGATTTTAGGAAGTGATAATCCAAAGCCTGAAATGAAACCATTAACTAGCTTATGGCATTAAATTTGTAATAATTTAATATTGCATTAAATTTTTGTTTCCCTCTTCATTCTTTCTAGCCCACAAAATCTGGAAGAATAAAATCAGTGTGGTTTTGAAAGCCTTTTCCTAAAAGCATTTCTCATAGCAAAGCTAGCAGGAGGAAGGCTTTAAGAAAAGTTTTAAAATGATTTGTAATATAAAACTTTTCAAGGGATTAATAGGATATACTTTAGAAAGCTTTAAATTTTCAAGCCATGCCTTTAGCTTTATCTGTGACCTCAGCTTACCTGAGGCAAACCATGTGGTCATGTCTAATTCAGTGAAGGGCCACAACAAAGCTTTGGACAACAGCAACCATACCACTACTGCCTGCAACACATGGTTGTATATTTTTTCCTTATACAGACCTTCTGGTGCCCTATTCATGAAAGGTTCACAAGCTGGCAGAAAATAGGAAATCGCTGCAGTGGTATGTAAGAGCCCTGTGCAATGAGGCACGTGTAATTCTAATCTTATTTTAGCCCCTCCTGAGCTGGTCCTTTAATTTGAATGTTTTCTCATCTGCAAAATGTACAGGGTAGAGTAAGTCTTCCAATCGTCATCACTCCATATTTCCGATACAATAAACATTGTTATGGAGAAATGTTTACAACACTCTCAGAGAAATTAGTCCCTCTACTTCCCAAGCAAAATTTTGTAGATTCTCTTAAATAAAATGGACTCAGTGCAGTATTTCAGTGAAGATACTGAATTTTTGTAAATATTATGTCCACGTGCACTATGTCTTTCCACAGAGCAGTCTATAGCATTTATTTTCCTTCCCCTCACCTCCAACCCAGGGCCCCTGAGGACTGAACCTAGAGCCTGGAGCATGTCAGGTAAGATGCTTTAGCACGGGGAGGGGTGTGTTTTAGCACAGAGACACTTCCCCAGTCTTTTTTAACTTGTGCTTTTAAAATGTATCTGTTTTGTCATATGAAAAAAGTGTTCAACATCACGGTCATTTGAGGGATGCAAACGGAAACAACACTGAGATTCCATCTCACCCCCAAAAAGGATGTCTGCTGTCAAGAAATATGCCAATAACAAATGCTGGCAGGGCTGTGTGTGAAAGGGAAGGAACCTTTCTCCACTGTTGGTGAGAGTGCAGACTGATGCAGCCACTGTGGAAATCAGTGAGGAGATACCTCAAAGAACTAGGATTAGAAATCCTATTTGACCCAGCTATTCCTCTGCTGGGTATCTTCCCAAAAGAACTAAAAGCATTGTACCGCAGTGATATATGTACAACCATGTTTTATATCATGTGCATTTGTAATAGTTAAAACTTGGAAACAGACCAATTGCCCATCAACTGGAGACTGGATAAAGAAAATGTGTGTTTTTAAAAATAAAATGGAGTACTACTCAGCCATAAAGAATGAGAAACTGTTAGCTCAGCGGCACCACACCTGCCTCACAAGTGCAAGGTCCTGAGTATGATCCCCGGTAATAACAACAACAACAACAAAAGAGAAACCAGAAACATAGCTAAATGGATGCACACTTAGGCCACACTCTTAAGTGAAATACATAGGACACATGTGTAAATACCAAATACTCTAGTGTGAGAAATTGAAAGTGTAAATAAGGATCAAAATGTAGAATAGATAATGTGAAATAGGAAGAAAAGGTGCAACGGGGAAGGGGAAGTGGGAGGGGTAGAGAATAGAAAAGAAGGGAATAAATATAAAAAAAGGAAAAAATGGAAATAAAGCCTTTGTAAATAGGAAGGGGTGGAGGGATTGAAGGGAGGGCAGAGGAATGGGGGAAAATAAGAACCAAGATATATCACGTAAAGGTACAAATTCCCAATGATGAATGTTATCATATTGTACACCTAAAATGTACCAATAAACTTTTTTGGGGGGAGTACCAGGGATCAGACTCAGGACCTTGTACTTGGTAGGCAGGTGCAATGCCACTGAGCTAAATTCCGAGTCCTAAGCCAATAAACAATGAATTAAAAAAAGTATCTGTTCTGAAAAGTGAACTCTTTTTTTCGAAGGTTGGAGACAGTTTCCTTCAAATGCTCTTTAAAGCTTTTATGGATCTCATATAAAGGGTCCAGCTGTAAAAGGTTTTGTATTTAAATTTAAATATTAATACAAAATGTTTATTGTTTTTCTGATTTGGATGATGGACAGCTATTTCTTTGTACTTACTCTTTAAAGCAGACAAAAGCACACATTTTATTCCTATTCTTTTTATATTTTGAAGTCCACTGAACAAACTTATCATCTTCAGGATAAATTTTATTTGGTGCCAGGAAGTTTTTAAGACCTCTACTCTATTAATCTGTTGAATGCCAGTAGCTACACCATGAAATGGGCACTTATATTTATCCCAAGACACAGAGAAGTTAGGTAACTTGCCTAAAGTCACACAGACAGTTTGAGATTTGAACTGACTTCTAAAGATCCCATTAGATAATATCCATTAGATAATACTGCCTATCGCATGAGTTACCGATATATAAAACAAAAGATACTACTTAATGAACAGAAGATACATAGGAAGAGAGACCCAACAGAAAATTAGGTTTTGTGCAAAAATAAAATAAACAAAAATAGTAAAGTGCAAACTTGCAAATCATGATTGTACCAAGGAATTTAAAGATAGTCATTTCATTTAAAGTGTCCTTGGCAAGTCCAAGGAGAAGTCAAACCATTTCCTAAACGTGAATCTTTGTTTGGTTGATTCTATGGTTTGAAGCCACCAGAAGTAAATTGAAGCCAAATCACACAGGGGCAGATGACTGATACCTACAGCGAGAGGGCGCCACAGGGAACTCGAGAACTCTATCAGGACACCTAGTGGAGTGTGGACTGGGATTCACTTAGGATTGGCCTCTTACACTAGCTGAGAAGGGAAGACAGCAGAGATTTCCCTTCTAGCGCCCTCCTCCCCGCGGACAGAAATCTTGTACCACCATATACACTTCTCCATCCTGTCTGCCGCGGGTGGCGTAGGGCAGCACCTGCTCACTCCCAGCCTGGCCCTGAACACTTCCTACCATATCCTGCCCGCTGCTGCCATCATTCGTTGGCCCAAGCTGCTCGGATGGTGGAGAATTTGGGAAGCTCCCTTCCTCCTCAAAGCCCCTTCTACAGGTGGGGACGGGGTGGGCAGGTTGTGGTACACAACCACAACCTCCCCGCAACGCCCACCACCTCTCTCTCTTCCAGATGCAAGAAGGGTGCAGGCACAATGACCTCTCCTCCAAGCTCCCACCCCTATCCCGATGCACCGCTCTCTCTAGCCCTCAGCCCACTATTTCCCCCTGCAAGCGGGCAGGGGGTATCGCGGCGCACACCAAAAGAGCCTAACCCCGTCCCCGACTTGCCTCATCTACGCCAACGCTGGAGGACAGCCGCGCACAGAGACCCTCCTCTCAGTTGCCCACTTCTGTCCCGCCGAGCAGCCCACCTCGCCACCTCCGATCGCGGCAGCCCGGACGCCCAGATTCGTTTCAACTTCCCCAGCGCAGCTCCCAGAGTGTGGACGAACAAGCGTCCGGGTTTGTTCACAGAAAATCTCCAGGACGCGGGCACCTGAAGGTACAAATCTGTCCGTGCAACTTCCAGGGGTGTGAAGAGCGTCTCAGGATAAACGTGGACACCAAACTGCTCCTTCAGGACCCGGGCGCGGGGCCACGCTTCCCCGGCCTGCTCCTCAGGCCCGCCCGGGCCGCACGTCTCGGAAAGGGAGGTGCTGCGTCTCCGGGAGCAGCGATTTCCCTTCCCACCTGCGCTCAAACGGCCTGCCTCGGACGCCCGGCCCCTTCCACGTTCTTTTCACCATCCCGTGAGGACGCCCACCTCTTCTCTCGCCCGGGGTTCCCAAATGTGCCAGGGGCGATCGATAAGCTTTCTGCACTTTAGCGGCTGGGCTGCCGCGTCCCCCAGCCTGTCATAGACCCAGGGCAGCAGAGCTGGAACCGAGCTGGCGCCTGGCGCACTAGGTAGAGACTGGTCTTGGCTCGACGCCCCTCTTCAGACACAGCCACACCTCAGTCCACACCGCTTCCCGATAAGCACGGACAGAACCCGGGTGGGCTCCTGAAGGGGCCACAGACTCGCACCCTCTCCGGCTGCGAGAGCCCGGGGTTCCACCGAGCGTGCGCGCCAGCCCAGACCCTGTCGCTACCCAGCCCGAAGCCTCAGGGCGAGTGAGAGAGAAAAAACGGGGGACATTGAGGAAGCCGGGTACTCACGATGCCACCGTCCACCGGACTAGCCGGAGGAGAAGCTCCGGCCGGCTCGCCTCTGTTGGCCGTGCGCATGCGTCCGGCGTGTGCCTTATTTTATTACAATGCCTAGTGCAGTCCTTACTACGCCCGCGATTGCTCTCCTCGGCTTTCCCCTTCCCGAAGCTGTCTTCGCTCTCGCCCACTTCTCGCTTCCTCTTCCTTCCCGGCTCTGCCTGCTCCCCGCCCCCTCCCTCCTCCTGCGCGGGCTGGGCAATCCCGGGCTCGCCTCCCTCTGGCGGCGGTGGCGGCAGGGGGCACCTCCCCAAGCCCCCAGCAGCGAGACCTGAGCCCCGACCTTAGCTCCCCTCCTCCACCCGTTAGGAGACCCCGAGGGTGTGGGTGCG